TTTTTTTTGGTTTTTCAAGGCAGGGTTTCTCTGTGGCTTTGGAGGCTGTACCAGAACTAGCTCTTATAGACCAGGCTGGTCTCAAACTTACAGAGATCGGACTGCTTCTGCCTCCCGAGTGCTGGGACTAAAGGCATGTAACACCAACGCCTGGCTGATATATTCTTAATAGTGATTATTAATGCAGTTCTTTCCTGCATTCATCTATTTACATTGATTTTGTGTGTGTGTGTGTGTGTATTTTTTTTAAGAAGGTTTTTTTTTTTTTTTTTTTAATGGCATCTTTTGTGGGATGGAGAGTTGGCTCGGCAATTAAGAGCACTTTTCGTTCTTGTAAGAGGACCTGGGCTCTATCCCCAGCATCTACAATGTGACTCACAACCATCTGTAACTCAAGTCCCAGGAGATCCAATGTCCCCTTCTGTCCTCAGAGGGAATCAGATGAGCACATAGTGCATATACATACATGCAAGCAAAACTCATATACACATGAAATAATAAATAAATCTTAAATTATTTCTAGGGGCTGGAGTTCAGTGGTTAATAGCACTTGCTACTCTTGCAGAGAACAGCAGTTTGGTTCCCAGAACCTATGTTTACTACAACCTGTAACTCCAGTTTCAGGAGATCTGCTGGAGTCCAGCTCCGGATGAGGGCAGGGTCTGAAGAGGGTAGATGCAAGAGTGATGACAGAGAAATCTGGTCAGTGACTAACAATAGTTTGTAGGACATTTATAAGAAAGCTTGATCTGGGTGAGCTAAAAAATTGTCATCCATATAGTGGACCAGATAAATATCTGGATAAGTGAGCCTAACTTTTGTAAGGGCCAAATCAACAAATTTTTGGCACAATGTGGAACTAGTCTTTATTCCTTGGGAAAGAATTTTTCAATGAAAGCATCTATAAGGCTGCTTTAAATTTACAGAGGGAAGACTTAAGTTAAATCTTTTTCCATCTGTAGGAAGGGGGATAGAGAAAAAACAGTCCTGTAAATCTATACTCTTTGGGGATCACAGCAAGAGAAGGGAGGCCAGGCTGAAGAGTTCCCATGGTTTCCATAGTTTGATTATTTTTTTCTGAGATCCTATAATAGTCTCCATTTTCCTGATGTCTTTTTAGTAACAAAAACTTGAGTATTCCAAAGACTTGTAGACATAATATGCCCAGTGTCCAGCTGTTCCTAAACTAGAGCCTCAGCTGTCTGGATCTTTTCTTATATTAGGGGCCATTGCACTGTCTAGACAGGGTCATCAGATGAGGCAGGCAGATCTCTGTGAGTTCGAGGACAGCCAGGGCTACACAGAGAGACCCTGTCTTGAAAAACCAAACAAAACAACAACAACACCAAAATTGTTTTGCAATGTCCCCAGTTAAAAACCCTGATACCGGAAGCCATATTTGTCCTGTTTATTTTTTGGTTCTATTGGATAAAATCTTTCTTGGCTATTTTTTTCCTAATCCCTTTTGGGGTCATATCCTATTTGTAACATCTGAGAGGAGATAATTTCGTTAGGGCTTACCAAGAGGAGGCCCATTTTTTCCAGAATACCCCATCCCCATAAAGAGAAGGGAGTGCTGGAATTACATAAGGAGTGAGGAGTCCCTTTATTATCACCATCCTCCCACTGTAAGCTTGTGAGCTTTTAGCAACTTGAGGGGGTCTGTCCAATTCTGTATAAAATGGAGGGGCTAGTGGTAATAGGCCAATTTTGTGACCAGTTCTTTCCTGCTATATAAGAGACATCAGCCCCTGTAACCATAAGCCCCTGTATCTCTTTTCCTTGAATTTTTAAGATTTTTAAAAGACCCCGAACTCTATTTCTTGTAACCAAAATACATGATCCTGTGAGCCAAAGCCTTGGCTACCTCGAGGTATATTTGAAGCTGAATGGCCATGAGAAAAGTAGGGTAAGATTAATAATTGAGCAACTCTCTGACCAGAATGAATCTGTATGGTTTTTACTGGTGCTTGAATCATGACCTTGATTCCCCCCATATAATCAGAGTCAATGACCCCAGAAATAACATGGTTCCCTTGAAGAGAAGTTGAACTTCTACCTAAAACTAATCCCACTTGACCAGGGAGTAAAGGTTCAGAAACTCCTGAAGGGACCGTTTCATTAGGGATGTCTGGGGTTAATTCGACTGAGGTGGTAGACTTGAGATCCAGTCCTCCATTCCCTGAGGTTGTCTGGAATAATTTTGGATTGACTTGTGTCCTGGGGCAGGAAGGAAGGGATTGGTCATTGTTACTCCCACTGGGGAGGGGGGGCAGGCTGGGGTTGGCCCCTCTGGAAGTTTCCCAAGGGGAAAGCAGGAGGCGGTGCTAAATTATCTCCGAGTTTTAGGTCCCTTAGGTGGTGGTGTGGGGGGAGTCCCATTTTTATGAAATTTAGCGCCAGAATCTCTTTGCCAATGAAATCCTTTCTGACACCGAAGACAGAGGGAAGCCTGAGGAAGGCTGAACAGGTCCTTCTTGATTTTTATTAGGACACTGTTAGCTTATATGTCCTTTCTGACCACAGAAAAAACAAGTCTCCACATTCTCTGGTCGGGAAGTGGGGCTGCCTCTGAGGAACTGAGTAGTTGTTTTACCTTGAAGGGCAGCGGCAATAGCTATGTCTTGAGGAAAAACGGGGTGAAATCAACACAAGCCTTCAGATAATCTGAAATAGTTCACAGTCTGCTAGCAGATATTAACAATGTCTTGCAGGCATTATTGGTGTTCTCGTAGAGCAGTTGTTTAATTATTTCTGTAGCCTGTTCCTTTGGTATGATTTTGGTCACAAAATCAGTGAGCGGAGAAATAAATGAATTATAAGGTTCATCCCTCTTTTGTTTTATATTAACCACCCCTGGGGAAGAAATATCTGAAGCAGGCAAGTATCTCCAAGTAGCAATAACCAAATCAGGAATTAAAAGCAAATCTTTTTTAGGTGTTTTTAGCTGCTGCCCAGGATCAATCCATTGGGCTACTCCCAATAGCACAGAAAGACCTATAACCTCTTCTGTCTTCCTGATGCCAGCTTCCTTTTTTGCTTCTTTCTCATATTCTACCTTCCATAATAAGAAATGTCCTCCTGGCAGGCACACTTTAGCCAACTGATGCCAATCATTAGGAGTCATCCAATAAGTACCAAAATTTTCCAAAAGTGTTATAACAGAGTGACGTGATACCATAACTGGCAACTGCCTCCTTTAATTCTTTAACAAGCTTGTAAAGCAGTGGTTCCCATGAAGTCTCATTATTCTCATCACTTTGTCCCCATAAATAATGGAATGTCTTAAAAGAAGGTCTCCAGATAAAGCTACTTCATGGGCAGTGCCAGACATGGCTAAGAGTCCTGAGCTATGATGTTTAAGTCTCCCCTGTTTTTCTTTTTCTAAGAGGAGGAGCAGATGGCTTAATATGTGGGGGAGGCCAATCTTTATCATGATATCTCACAGCTTTTTCTAAATCATAGGCATTATGAGGATCTAAAGGCTCCTTGGGTGCATCCTCAGGGTCAGATCCCTCTGAATCATTATTTAACAGATCAATTAAATCTTCATGCTTTAATAAAGGAGGCTTAACAGAAATCTTAGTTCCATATACTTTAACAAGTGAGATTCTTTTAGAAACATTGTGGGGGAGATCTGTCCCTTCTTCTGCAGACAGGGTTTGTTTAGTAGTCCCCACAAGGAAAATGCTTGAATAGCACCTTTTCACGGCCATGTTTAGTGTACCAGCATCTTATATCTTTTTCCAA